ACCTGGAAAAGGAAAAAAAAAGTGTTAAAAACAGCAGTAAAATTCTTTAATTCCTTTAAACTGTGAGAATGAAGGAAATCTCTCACTGATGAATCCTATGAGACAAACTGTGATTTGTTAATTTGGACTTTACAAATAAAATGTGATTGATTGACTGAATTGGGATCATGTCACTTCTCATGCAGCCATACATCTCACGAGCTGCGTGCTCCTGAAGCGCTCCCCTGCAAGTGCATGCGTCATTACGCACGCTGAACCAGAGGCGCGCTAGTTGAATCGTGGAWGAGGAACAACGGTGCTCCTCCAGAAAGAACTCCACACAGATCTGTGCATTTGTACCAAACTAGTCTCTTGATTGACTTCCTGTTTTTCAAGAAGTACGAGCTTCAAAGGATAATGGTTGTCACAGCACCGTTTCCACAGCGACAGGAAAAATCTATTTTATTTGAATTTCAAAAAGCCGTTCGCMAAAAAAACAACAACTGTGTTTTCAAATCATGACATAACTGTTATTATTTCAGACCTTCCTCTGGATATTAAGTCAAATCATACAGAAATGTACTGGTTTAGGATTATTAGAAGGAGAAGATATATGAGAGCTCATTGTGGGATTATTATTATTGTCATCATCATCATTATTATCATCATCATTATTTTACAGCAATAAATTGTCCAGTATCACTCAGAGCTGTGTTTTCCAGCAGGCCAACTCCAATTACATGAAAATATATAAGTTACATTAAATATACTTTTAATTAATTGTAAAATGACTGAAAACATTTGGTGTAAAACTTTATGGTAATAATAAGATGTCTTACCGGCCACAGGGCAGGGCTCCACACTGGGTCCAGTCATGGTTCCACCGGCAGAGTTTGCAGCAGTATCTCGGTTCTTGTCTCAGTTCCCTTCTGGGTTTTTCTCTGGGTTATTCTTTCTGTTTTTCTCTCGGGTTTGTCTCGGAGGTTTTCTCGGGTTGTTCTCTCTGTTTTMCTCTCGGTACTTCGGGTTTTCTCTCGGTTCGTCTCTCGGAACCTCTCTTGTCCTGATGCTCAGATGAAATGACTGACCCGGTGCAGGGGTCACCTGTTAGACTGTCTCCTCCAGATTTGAACGATAACATTCTGTTGCCATGAC